ATCGCCAGGGTCACTAACAATATCGATGAAATGAGAAGTTATGAAGAATTGAGCAAGACAAAAGAAGAGCGGAAAAAAGAAGAGCAAACCGAATTACACCTAAAAATTACGGAAAACATGGCTGACAATTCTTTGAAGAATATCAGGAAGAATGAAACATGTGTTATTTCTAAAGACCATGAGTATGAGGAGAAAGAAAGAAAGGATTCTTCAAAAGAAAAAATAATATCTAACTCTAATGAAAAATTAGAGAAAACTGTATCTGCAACGAGAATAATTGAGAAATCAAATAACGAGAAAGCAGTCGACATCATTGCTAAGAATCCTATCGAAAAAGATTTTGTGGATATAGAATATAGGAGAACATCTCAGGAAAAGTTCGAGATCGTCAAAGATGTCGAACAAAAGTCTGATGAAGCTTGTCTGAGAAAAAAAGATTCATCTAGCACATTATCGCGAAGCGATAGCTTTTCTGTAAAAGAGGAAATTGAAAAGATTGAAAGGCAGATTAAAGCATTGGAAGATAAAAACACGTCTAAAGAACAAGAAGGTATCGACGATACATGTTATGATGATTCGACAACGAGTACCAGGTTATCTATCGAAGCAAATCGTCGGCAATTTTTCGAAAATATGGTAGACGGACCATCTGGTCCAATTAAGTTAGAATTTAAGAAATTACCACGTGAGCAGAAAGACATTCACGTAGTCAGATTAACGGATTCGCCAATACCAATCGCAGCGTCTCGTGACCCAGTAAAGGTGATCGAACTACATATCTCCGAACCGATCAGGCATAAACCCGAGCTCTTAGATGAGGTAAATCCCATACCGAAACCCAGAAGACACAGTGCGCTTAGTCTAAAGGACACAACTGAATCTAGATCAAGAGACGAAAGTAACAGTTTAAAAGACGATGATGAGAGAGGAAAATCTTTTTAAAATTTCTAAGTTTCGTCCTTATCTTTAGATCATATTTAGTCCATATCTTCCTCATGAAATTGTTATTTCCGTGATTTCTATTGAAAACATAATTGCGGTTAGTAATTACGAGAATTTATGTATTATATATGAACTATCATTCAAAGACTGTAAGTACATTCTACATTGTGTCTTTCTTATTGGATTGCAATGATATCATACTAACGCGTCGAATATATTTTTCTGCAAAAATATTTGCTGCAGAGAGAATCTAGCATTTCTATTACATTACATAATTACAGTGATAATTATGCATTGTCTCATTTATGTATTATTTCATTTCTGATATTTTACTATAATACTTAACTATTACTTTCATTATTTATTAATATATATAATAAAGCATGAATTGTTATGAAAGTATCTTGTGATAAAAATATATAATCCTACTCTATATAAATCTAAAAATTATAAAAGTATAGAAAATAGGAAATGACAAGAATATTTCTTGCTTTTTAAAAATATGTCACAAGTTATTTATTATAAAAATTTTTTCATTCACTATTTCTATAATTTAGAGAAATCGAATAAAAATAACGTTTAACAATGTTTATTAATTCCTATTCGTTTTTGTTTATATTTTATAAATCTCATTAGATTTGAGTTTACAGTCGATACTACAATCGCGCCGTCTTGTAAATGTTTTTTCTGCTGATGCATCTAAAAAATAATTATATACAAAAAATCAATATACATGATAAGTATTTGATATAATAAGAAATAATATATTTGTAAAATAATATATACCTTGCTTTTGAAATGTGGCATTATAGACAGCAATCTCGGAACTAATTTGATATCTGCTGCTAAATGGTCAGTCTCATCTTCTGCATATATATCCATTATTGCGTCCATAGATTCTGCTATAACCCATACTCGATTTTCAGTTTTAGAGATGTCCAATAAGAACGTGGAAACAAGCTGCCAAAAATAAATAATTGATATTTGGATAGAAAATTCAAAGAACCACGAAAATAATTACCTTTATCGCTTCGTAATTCTTCGAATCTTTCGAATTTTTTTTACTCAACATGATCTGTACTAAATTGCAGAGCATTCTTATCATATTAACACGAACATTTATACTGACACATTGATGTATGTCGTTTAACATCGGCTGAATGTCGTTACAAGTTAACTGATTCAATTCGACGACGTTCGCCCGTTCTTGGACTAAACGTTGTAGAATAGCTCTCATGGCAGCAGTACTTGCTTCTGCAAGTTCTACATTCTTCTTGAAGATCTGCTTAAACTCTGTTGAAATATCTATCCATTTTCTGAGTACAGAATATGCAGAATTAATCAAAGCCAATAAAATTATAATAGAAAAAATGCTTATTATTATTTAAGGAATTTAACAATAATCTACCTAAATAAATTATCAACGCCACCAAAAACATCAATCTCTATACTAGGTAATAAATTGTTTAAACATAAATAAGCTGTGCACTGAATATTGTAAAATTGCTTCAACGTAGCTTTTCCTTCTTCAGTTTGATCTAATATTTCTTGATTATTTTTATCCACCACAAATTTAGTCTTGTCCAAAATTTTATCAATCAAGTTACAAGCGTTTATAACTTCAACTAACTCCACTGGAAGTGTTGACATTATTTTTAAATCTTCATTCATAGAATCAACATCCAAACATTCAGACTCAAGCTCCATTGTTTCAAAATCATCAGTATTAGAATCGATTTCATTGCCCTCACATTCAAAACATAAATTTGCTAAAATCTGTAAAGCTTGTTCCTGCATTTCCAATATTTTTCTCTTTTCTTGTACTTTTTTCCTTTTGTCATTCGAAGAAGCATTGTTTTCATGTGGCAGGATAGACGTTAAACAAGATAGAATTTGTCCATGATCAATTGCAAGTACATCAGATAATATCGACAACACTTTACGAAAAACATGTATCTGGTTATTATCAGTATAATTGTTGATATTGATTAATATATCAGCTACACAAGTTTTCAGGAACAATATTTTGGAAGCAATCTTATCGTCTGCTTTAAAATCCAATAAACTAGACAACAATGATTCGCTTTGTTTAATTTTATTAATAGCAGCGTCATTCTCGTCTGACAGACAAATCAGAGATTGTGTAATAATCGTGACAATCTCTATTCCATAAATATCAATATTTAAAAACTTTATCAAAAGTGACACCAAGCCTTCATCATTAATACGCTTGATTGCACTTTCATTATTTGCGCATAATGTCCATAATAAGCTAACTGCTTGAACAAAAGTCACTTTTTCATCTCCAACTTCTTTTGGTTTCCAATCTGAATAGTACTATAAAGAGGAAATTTATTTAACTTTAAAAAAATATTGTATAATATTAATTTTAATTTACTTTACATATATTAAGAAATATACGTTATATAAAGACATTATACATGGGATGTTGTATGGCTGTGTGAGAACAAAACACTCTTAACTAACAAGTTACAAGTTCAAGTCCTGCATTTCATACACACATGAGGAAAAATTCTATAATTTATATTGTCTTCAGTCTGTATTACATTACTTATTAGAGAATAAAGATTAAGAATTAAAAATTAAGAATAAACTTCAAACCGATCAGATAAAAATGTATTAAAATTAAAATATTTAACCAGTTGATTTATAATCTTTAATTCACAATCTTCAGTCTTCAATGCTTAGTGTGACATGGACTTTAGTGGAAGTTATAAAGAAACTCTTTAGATCCAGACAACTCTTGACTAGATTCAGATATACAGCAGATATGGTTCTACTCATATCTTTAATACTATTATTAGATATCATGTAATATTTATGAATAAATACTTAATATATAATAGGTTTCATACCTGTCTCAGTAATATAGTGAGAGGAGTTATAATATCATTTTTGATTAAATCATTGCACCCTTCCTCTCTACCATTTTCAGCAATTTCCGATAAGGTATGTACGGTATTCTTTCGTATAGCAGCATTATAATCCAGTAACAATGGACCAATTAATTTTGCAATTCCATTTTTAGCGATTTGCTTCGCCATAGAAGAGTCGCAAGACATTGAAGCCAAAATTTGCAGAGCGGATAATTTTTCTTCGAGATTACACGACTGTATCTAGATAGAGAAAAAAAAAATACTAAAAAGAGACAAACCCTTTTGATATACTTTGTTAATTTTTATAGATTTTATTAACTTAATTTTATCAAATAACGTATATTTGATACACATATTGCATCGATAAAACTCGTTGCTCACATCATCGTAAACGTTCTGCAAGATCTTCTCCCTATCTCCTTCCCCGAGTTCTGCATTTAATTCCTTATCGAACTCCTGAACGGATTGTAATCCAGTGGGATTTTTCTTGTGAAGTTTTCGCCGATGCGGTTTCTGCTTACCCATCACTATAGTATAAATAATTGGATATTTGAAAATAATAAAATATATTCAAGTTTTCTCAAGTGTATCTCAAACAATCTCGAAGAGGTTAGACAAGTGCATACATATGGAACAAGTGCACATGGCTGATCTAAATTATCTGACATCTTCAGTTAATTTTGCGAAACTCATAATTAATCCACTGCATTATCAATAATGTGTAATGTATACTTCTGTATTATCACGAAAATATTTGTTACGTATTGACGGTACTGCAGTATTTTGACACAATTATGGCTGGATTACATTGGATTACATCAAATTATTTGATTTGTTCTCTGGGTATGTTTTCTGTTCCTACACTAGAACTCTTTTTCTCGCTTTCGACAAATATCAAACATATATACCTATCTCACTGAAAGTGTGAGTGTATATATGTACATACCATGAAGGAAGATATAAGGAGACTCCACTCGGTCTCGCCAGTCTACAAGACATGAACCCATTTTAGGTTTCGAGTTTCGTTTCCGATTCTCGACACTCGCAGCGCTCGTGAATTTAGTAGTGCTGCGCATAATGAGTGCGAGTAAGAGAAATGATCATTTCTCTTACTCGCACTCATCAGAATCGGAAGCTGAACTCGAAACCTAAAATGGTATATCTTACTTCCTGGTACATACATACACTAGTTCAGCCACAGAAAACAGACCTATCGTAGTTTCGATATTGGTGCGTGCGTGTTAAAAATTATAAAAAATTCATCATTTATATCGTTTAAGAATCATGGAGAAATGGTTGCAAGAGGAATTGTCGAAATTATTGGATTTTCCAGCAGATGACTTAACCCAGTAAGTTTAGTGGATAAGAAAAATCTGTATTTGCATAATGTTATCAATTTTTTAGGTTTATTTTGCAGATAGAAAATGAAAGAGATTTAGATGAGTACTTTTCAACCTTATTAAGTACTGAAAATCTAAATCATAGACAATTTGTAATAGAATTGAAAAAGAGACGTGGTGAGTAACAACTAGATATACACGTTTTGGAAAACTGCCAAGATCATTATTAAATTATTATATTTATATACATTGTTTCAGCTTCTTATAATAATCAAACTAGAAACAAAAAGATAAATGATAATGATAATATTCCCAAAAAACAAAATGATAAGAAAAAGGGAAAGACAAAGGGAAAGAAAAACAATCAAGTATATATATTTTTCCAGAGAATTACATAACAAATAAATTATAAGTAACTGTTTGAAAATTATTACATATTTTGTGCATTATTTTTGCAGGTGCAAGAAGTAAAACCTGAGTCACCATCTGAGAAGGTGGAAAAAAAAAAGACTAAATTTACTAATTTATTGTCTCATGGAACTGTTCTCTTGAAAGGCATTTATATAATAAATTTGTACAAAGATATGTGTGTGTGTGTGTGTGTGTGTGTGTGTGTGTGCGTGTGCGTGTGCGTGTGTGTGTGTGTGTGTGTGTGTAGAGAGAGAGAGAGCGAGCAATGTTTTGTATAAATTTTTTTTTCAGGAAGGCATAAATGCAACTGCGAAGCAAACAGACATGCATTGATTAACAATTGTCTTAACTGTGGAAGAATAGTTTGTGTACAAGAAGGCTCAGGTCCATGTTTCTGTTGTGGAGAACTTGTTTGTTCTCCAGATGAACAAGTTTTACTTGGAAGCAATACTAAACAGAGTGACAATTTGTATAATAAATTGATGGATCAAAAACCATATAAGAATCTCGAAGATTCTCTTAAACAAAGAAACAAACTCCTTGAATTTGATCGCAATAGGTATGTATATATATATATATATACATATTGCAATTCTCAAAATGTTCTATATATTAATTGTTATAAAAATGATTACAGTGCCCATCGTACCAAAGTAATTGATGATGAATCAGATTATTACCAGTCAAACAGTATTTGGCTATCCCATGATGAGCGCAAGAAGTTACAGAAGCAAGAAGAGGAAGAATTAGCTCGCAAGCATGCATCACGTTTAGATAAAAAAGTTGCTATAGATTTTATGGGAAGAGTAATAGTTGATGAAGATCAGTCAATTAACTTGCAATTGGAAGATCTTGACGAAACAATATCATATGACAACTTTGAAAATATGAATATTTGTCCAACGATAGAATTTGATCGTCCAACAGTAAGATTGTAAATTTTTTATAGTTAATAATAAATTATGTAAAAGTTTATTTCTATTATTAAACCTAAACAATTATATAACACACTTTTCATTGTATATTGTTATTATGTTAAGTTTGTTGAGATGGGAATATTCAGAACAAGCACACGAACTGAAAATCGCACATGGAATATGGAAAGCAGAATACAGGATAAAGAATATTTAGAAATGTTTGATCAAGGTCTATGTTTGAGCATGCATCAGCCTTATGCATCTTTGATAGTGGCAGGAATAAAAACGTAAGTGATATATTAAAAAATAATTCATATAATCAAAATGGAATTAATATGATTTTAATGTTATTAGTCATGAGGGCAGAAGTTGGTATTCTTCACATAGAGGAAGATTATGGATAGCATCAGCTGCTAAAGTACCTTCTTCTGAAGAAATATCTAATATGAAACAATTCTACCGTTTATTAAAAAATGGTAAGAAAAAAGTGTATGTGTGTGTATGTGTATATATATATATATATATATATGTATATATATATGTATATCTCTTTGTACACAGATATCCTTCTCCTTATTATGGCTACCTCAACTTATTGCCTACTGCACGCTGGACGCGATGAGCGATGAGCAACGACATGTAACGATAACTGATGTTTTATCTCAAGAAGAATATAGAAAATTATATCCAGAAAAAGAAAATGAGAGTCCATATGTCTTCATATGTGAGAATTCTTACATGTTATCAACACAATTTCCTATGAAAGGAAAACATAAAATTTGTAAGTAACAATAAAAAAAAATAATTTCCGTTACTTATAATTAATATATTACAACAGAATTAAATTCTTTTATATTATAGATAAAATGGATAAAAAACTTCATCAAGCTGCTTCCAAATGCTTAGAAAAAACCATGAAAACAGTTAATAACTAATATTTTCATGTTGTAGTTTCAGATTATTCCTTTCTTTGCAAAATTAAATAAGATAAACTTTTCTCCAGGTATATATGTTTATTTGTGTGAATAATTTAAATATACATGCATTCTATTAAAAATAATTATCTGGTTTTTATATAAAAGTGATTTTTCTGATAATGTATCTAATAAAAATTTTACAGAAATATATAATATGCATGTTACATTACTTGTGTGTACAACGGATCAGTATTTAATTTACATAAACTCTATAAGAGATGTTAAGATATAACCGTTCATGCATGTTGTTCATTTGCTTATTGTATTTGTCATACTTTCACATATATTATTGATGAAAAAATATCAATTCTACTATGGTTGATATCAGCCTTTTACAAATAGTTTTAAAAATTATTTGTGCTATATCGCGCATGTGCACGAAATAGAGCGTACATCTGAAATACAAACATAGACTCTTCTTATTTGAGAAAAGCATGAGGATTATTATTGTACTAAATTTTCATTTTTCAAATGCCAATTATCTTATGTTATTAATTATTAATATCTCAATGTTTTGTCTATATAAAAAGCTTCGATGTTACCATGAATCATCTGTTCTCTTATTCTGACGCATTAAATTAGGCTAAGTCAGTACAATCAATATATAAAAAACCTCTCACACCTACACTATACTATTAATTAATACGAAAGCTGGATATAATTAAACATAAATTAAAGTACGTTAGCTCAAGCATTGTTATAGATCTTTTTCTATTGAGCAAATTTTTTCTTCATTCTCAAAATACTTTACACTAATTGTAAGCTAATCGGTTACGTATCTTTTTGTGCAATGTCGACAAGCTTATAAAAACACAATATTTTGCACTTATTTAACGTACATACAAAATTATATACAATCCAACAATTTAAAACAATGTTAAATAAAACGAAACAAATATTGCAGAAATATGTTAACAAACAATATTTAATAAGCAGATCGCACTTCGAGTTTTAATGGTTTGATGAATAAGGAATGTATGAATAAATAAATATTTATGTGATTATTACTTTTAATTAAATAAGATAACTCTACTTCTATACGATTTTAATCCACATTAATATGGATTTTGTCGTATCGATAAGACTTTTCATCAAACACTAGCAGGACGCACTCGATGATATAAAAAAATCCGTTATATATGTATATGTTTATACAATGTTCTCTTTCTAGTTATATAACACGTGTATTGTTACAATAATTACATATAACAATAATCTGCAATCGATAGTATAATAAGTTTATATATAGTAGTTTCTGATGAAGCTTTAACATTCTTTTATCTTTACGGCAAATGTTTAATTTTTTTTACAGAACTTGTTAAAAACCTTCAGTTTGTAACATTGCATAGACTATCATTTGTAAACCAAAGTTCTCTCTCTCTCTCTTTCTATCAATCGTCATTTTTAAAATAATTTTGTCAATCGTATAGAGAGTGGCACTATATAAAATTTATTTATTATTGGTAACAATAATTAATTTTTTTTAACTTTATTGCAATATTCTCTTTTAGAAATTATATTAAATCAATTTGTTTGCAGAGAAAAAAATTTAAATAAAAAATTTCAATTTTTGACAATAAATTGCAAAATTATATAGGAAATATATATATATATATATATATATATGTGTGTGTGTATAAAGACACACAACATATAATATTAAATACTTTTTAAACAAATAATATCTCAGCGTTTTGTATATTCTTTAATTAATTCTGATAACATTAATTTTATAAGCTTTGGTTTAATATCTGATTAAATTTAATTCTTTAATGACAAACTGTTGAACGTTACAATAATGCTAATAATTAATGACTTTGAACTTATTCAATACTCATCCTCAATAGGCCTCATAATATAATAATACTAATACAAAGTTAAAAAGAAAATCGTTATAAGATTTTCCTTATTCTGTTCGAGACAATTTTAAATAAATATCTTTGTAACTTCTTTTTTTGAAGGTCAAAAGATTCATATGCATTATTAATATATTGTGTCTCTAAGTTTTTTATAGTCTTGTTTCATTTTAGGTCGTTGAAAAAGGATTTATGTTGTAGATACAATTCGTTCGGTCAATAATTTTATATTTTATACACAATATGATACCTTTGCATAAACTGCAAATTGTAGCAAATGTGTAAGAATCCCTTCTTTCGCGAAGTTTCAGGCGTTTCAGTCTATTTATATGTAGGTCGGAGAATCCTTCAGACTGGTATGACAAGCATCACAGATAGAAACGTTTTTCTCGTTTACCAGCGTGCATTTTGGACACTCCTTGCCGCCACTAGCAAGAGGCTTGTCCTCGTTTCCTTTGCATCTCGATTTGGCGCACATTTCGCAGATGTCTCGATCGGGCATATTTAGATATGTGCACGTGGCGCAATTCCATCTTTTTTCGTCCTCCGCCTCTTCCTTCTTCTGTTTACTCATTTGCGCGATATCGAGATTTTTAAAGGAATCTGCAATCTTCTTCGTTATCTGATCCGAAGATTTGTGCGTGCGTGGAATTGGTAAAGTTTGACTGTTGTGCTTTTTATCTCTATTATTTGCATCGATATTATATCTATTCGAATCTGACAAATCAAAGGACGAGGATTTCTTCTTGAAAGGTAGAATATCCTGATGACTTTTGCCATTTGTTTCAGATGAATCGATCTCGTTTGCTTCAATCCTACCGCTGCTTCTTTTCTTCTCCGATTTATGCGTGCTATACTTGTCTTCATTCTCTGTTAGCCTAAGTGCTTTGTGCTTGACACGAATAGAATCCAGCTCTTTCTTATGCTGTAATACATCGTCTCGATCATCGAGATCCTTGTAATAGCCTAAGCTCTCAAGATTTCTGTACACGAAATCCCATGTATCATAACCATCTTTTCCAGCACTAGAATTCGATCTGCTAGCAGTTTTTCTATCGGTTTTACCGTGTTCATAATGATCCCCATTACTCGACTGACGTTTATAAAAGTCTACCTCATCCAGATCAGATATCCGGTGGGACATAGGTTTACGGAGAGTGTGTGTTTTTTCATAATTTGCCACAGATACCGGTACATCGAGTTCTATCAATCTACCAGTTGGTACTCGAGCTGCATATGCTGGTAATGTGGCACAATATGGATTCGGTTGCACACTATTGTCATAAAATTTATTACCATGAGAGGGCATGCAACCATAGCTAGAGCAACAATTGATGAAACCATGATTGATTGGTTGATAATATCGATAATTAGTTGGTACTGCCATGTTTGTCGTATCTTCGACATGCTGATAATCTGTTTGACAGGTTGATGGCATTGTTGCACTGTAATTAGCATGCATAATGTGATGATAAGGCAGGTGCAATGGCATGACCTCTATGCCCATTTGCTGTTGATAATAATCCTTATAGTTATCCACCTTTGTGCGATTTTGATGCACTTTCTCAAGGAAACGATAGTTTAGTGCTCGAACTGCCTGTTCTGGTGTACCAACATGATTCTCACGAAATTCCAATACCTCCAGCCAAGAAATAGTGTATTTCTGTGACACACTTTCCCATATCTGCTTTAAAATCTGCAATTTAAAAGCAATTTTATATAACATTTTAAATTGCAATTCTTTTACATGTTGAATAATTATATTATTTTTATTTTATCGATTACATTAACTATTTGTTTTCCATTACCTGACATTCCACAAAAGCTACAATAGCATCTCTACTGACATTTGAAACCTTATCAGGATCGATTGGTCCTTCCAAAGTCAGTACACCCAAACCAGTGTGCTTATAGCCCATCTGTTCAAACATTAATTCAGCACCTAATAAATTTGCCTCTACCTCATGTTTATAATAGCCACTATATGTCTAAAACAATTCAAAGAATTTGTATTATGTTAAATCATATAGCAAAATGTAGTCTAATAATAAGATATATTTCAGATAGTTACCCTCACTATCCTATATTCTTTTCGCCAAGGCTGAGCCAATAGATTAGCCGCGTATAAGGAAATTGCACTCCAAGCGGTTGCTGCTCTATACCCACTGAAATCTGTTACTGTTGCTGATGATCTGTGCAAAATATCTGCTGTTTCTTGAAACACATATTTATTCTCATTGGGTACTAGACAAAGGTATTCCTTTATAAAGCCTGAAATTTATATATCTACTACATGTACAAATTAACAAAAAGCCAACATCGCTAATGACTCAAGAATATACAGTACCTTCCAATTTATGTCGTTGTTGTAACTTTAAAGGGCTGTCATCTGTTTGTAGATACACCAAATGACTCTGTTCTAATTTCATACTAATCTCATGTAATCTGTCTTTGCTTCTCATTATTATGTCATTCGCCATTTTTATTCCTAACATTACAATATAACAAATGAAATTTATAACTATTTGTGTGACAAATATGATTAAGTCGATAGCCTTTACACATAGTTGCAAAAAAGCTAGAAAACACTATTGTTCTATAAAATTCAGGTGTTTTAGAAAATTAACAGTTGCTATGTGGAAATTTGCTTAAACTATTTGTAAAACTTCTTAATGATTAAGAACAATAAATGTCGTCTAGAAATAGTCAGAATTTATGATGGTATAGATTACGAACCTCCTAGAAATCTGATTTTAGAATAGATTCCCGTTTCAAACTACTACTAGCTCCAACCTAAAAATAAATCCTATATTTAGTAATGGAATCACGGACTCTGTAAATAAGCCAATAATTTTGTGATTACTTGACACATAGCGTGGTTTCCCATTTCAAAGCACGAGCCATCGAATTCATTTGATACTGTTCAAACGACATAAGTGTGTCTTTACATCTTTCTATAAATAATAAATATTTTTCAGATTTTTTTCTTGGTTATGTTCGCGTTACATCATGCACAGAATATGCGAAGATACGAGATGTAGGTATAAATCGTTTTTGTACATACATACATGTGGCACCACCAAGTGGAAATTACACACAACTTTAAACTCAAATTTTTAAAGTCAATAAATTTTGAGTTTATAATTTAGGCCGATATTCATAATCAATTCTTATATTTAATTCTTATAGTTAATGTCATAATGTCATGTCACCATTTAGAGGATGGCATTCATAGTCCGTTCTTATTTTATTAGACTCGCTTGTGTGTACCAATATTACTTTAACTTAAGCTCGTATCTTTTTCTCTCTCGGTTTTAGAGAGACAGGGAGAGAGACAATTTTATGCTTTGCTTAAAGTCAAGGTAACGTTGGTGCGCAGTCCTCAAAAAATCTAGCAAAACTTCATTTTTCGAAGTAAATTATGTAGTTGCTTCTATCTGTAAGAAATAAACAACACGAGAAAAATATTAAGGTGTTCTGGAATTCGAATTGCGACCTGATCTGCTCCATATGTTGAGACTTCTGTCGGGTACAGATACGGTCCACAATAGCGTATGTTGTGCCTATTGTTTCCAAATTTCTTACAAATCTTATCAACATGTAAAAACAACGAAATATTCATGTAATAATTTATTTTCAAAAATTATATACATGTATCGCAACCAATAAAATATAATAACACATTTATAATATACTCAATGGCTGACATTTTTTGAATTCTTATATTTAAAACTGTCTTAGGTACAATCTTAGGATGACACAAGTCAATTACAATTACTTAAGATGGTCTTAAAAGTAAGAACAAACTGTGTGAGTACCAGCCAATAACATATAAGAGATATGATACTTGATTATAGAAATCTAGCACATAAGTATATTGTAACACATGAAATAATATCTATAACTTGTACATACAATTTATTTGAAATATTAATTCCATTAATACAATCATTATTATCGATAACTAATTATAACTAATTATGTAATTTAATTGGCAATGAATCAAATAATATAATAAATACTGTATGTAAAAAATTTCTAAATTTTCTTAGAGCAAAATAAATGCTTTAAAAATTTGAAATAATGACTTGTCTTACACATACAAACATGTATGCTATCTCTTTTAAATAAGTTTCACTTTTCTAATAAATAATTTATACAAAGAAAAATAATAAATAATTTTTTTAAAATATAAACAGTATTCAAATAGCATGATTGTTGTTTCAATTATAATTACTACACGAAGCAATATTTAACATAATGATAACAATTTAGATGTCATAAAAGAGTGGATATTCAAAATATATGTATCATGATATAAATAGAGCAGATCATCTTATCATATTTTGTATTCTTTTAAATTTCTTAATAAAATCAGAAAGAAAATAATTTACTAAAAAATTGTAAAAGAATGATTAATAAGAGTCAAGCAACAATAAAAAATCCATAATTAAGTTAAAAATTATTGTTGCTTCACTCTTATTAACCTTTTGTATCATATTGTCGTATTTTAAGTATTAAAAGTCCCGTAATTTTTTAACTATTTGTAAAAAAAATGACTTATTTTTGTAAATTTAAGTAATAATGTATCTCCAACATGTCTATTATGAAATACTTAATTTATATCGTGTATAAATCATTAAATATCCAATAATATTTTCATATGAAAAAGTAACATATTTTAAAGACTGTTATTCAAATCGAGACGTGGCCTTTTACTGCGTATTGTAGATGCATCATCCTGGGAGTCACCGTTGGTAGACAAAAATTCTCTCTTTCTATCTGCATTCTAGAGTTCCATATTTATGATTAAAAATATTCGTAAAAGATTATTCAATAAAAATATTTAGCAATATATTTGTAATATTATTAATCATTGATATACTGTTGGATTAATGATAAGGCACTTTGCTACATCATGAATGCCTTGTGTATATTATTTAAAAAATGAAGGAAATCAAGATAACTAATAAAGAAAAACTAGGAAAATATCTGTCTTGGATAGATATTTCTAAAATGAAAGAAAAGAATTTAGAATAAATAAAATGTCGATATTATTTAGAACCTTCTACACGTAAATTTAAGGAAAATTAATTATAAAATAACGAAATCATAAAGAGTACATTACAGTTTATTCTATTATCTTCGCAAACAAAAAGAATATACAAATATATCATATTGATAAAAAAAAAAATATAAAATGGATTGAATGATTAAAAATATTTTCATGATCTCTAAAAAGAAAAATTATTTTATTGCCAATGTGGTAAAAAGTCTAGAACTTTATGAGTTCATGTCTTGCTAGAATTTGAAGTTATATATAATACTTGAAATTATAGATTATTAGATTTTTTTTTCAAAACAGTAATGGTGAAGATTACATGTTTAAGCACAATAATACAGTCAGTTATACTGTAAATTATTTTAAACCTAAGGTGTACACTTCAATTTTACGGAAGATATTTTTAAGAAACGAAATAAGTTTGTATATAAAATGGAAAGCAACACTAATCTTAACAAAATAAGAACACAATTTTACGTACATAAAGTCCTAAGGATCAAAATTCTTTAATAAGTTAAATATGAGTTTATGTAGAAAAATGATCATTAAGATAATTGTTTTCATAGTAAAGGCAAATCTATTCATTATCATATGAAAAGAATACTAGTTTTATTTAATTATAATGATTTTTGTTTGTCAAGAAAAGAATTTTATAATTTTGTTTAATTCAGAATCCATCATTTTTTTCTCAAATCCAAAATTGATTGCATTATCCATTTATTTTACATGAATGCTGTATAATTATTACGTTATATTGCTTAACATAAATGCAAATACTTATATCGTGGAAATTTTCAGTGTCTTATCATTTTGCAGCAGTATATATATATATATATATGCAGTATATGTATGTTCTAACTGCTCTTTACCTTCTTATCCCATTGTTGATGAAGATACCTCAATAAAATGGTTGTCTTCTCAGTAACTATGACTGTAAAAATAAAGAAATTAGCTAATATATTAAAATATCATTTATATACTACAATATATATTTACTTTGTTCGGAAGGATAATCCTTAGTAGGAAGATAGACTGATGGCCTCTTGACACATGTCCGATTTCCGTTATCAGTATGAAAATTTGCAAAATTATTTTCATCGTGTGACGGGAGGCCTTTTAAAAATTCAGCAACAGACTACAAAGAGACATTCATACAAGCCTTATATAGAAGCAAAGTTCAAAAATATTACATTTTAGAGAAAGTAATATATGCGAAAGATAAGGCTAATTCTAGAATGTACTTTTTGTTTCCTGTTTCTTGTTGTTTGTTTCTTGCCTTGATCAAAAAGCCAAGAGACAAATAGAGATAAACAGCAAGAAATAGGAAACAAAAAGCACATTGTAGAATTAGCCTAAAGCTTAGTAAAAAAAAAAGTTTAAAAACATTTGAGACTTTGAAATATGTATTTATTCATTGTAAACATTCATTGCACGCACTTACAAAACTCAGGATATAGTGTGCATATGTGATCAAAGATAACAAGATAGCAATTTACACATTTGGATTTTTCTCACCATTATAAGTAGACGATCTCTTGACTGCGAGATTTGAGATTATTCACATAAAAAAAAGACTTTTAGGCGATTAAGTTGATACAAGACTATCATCGTCAAAACGCCATTGAATATCGCGTGCAATGTGACAAGGTATTCGCCAACCTTATTTTATACCTCTATGCCTATTCACACTAATGCCTAGTTCACACCAGAGAGAATCAAGGGAGAGTGGAGCGGATAGTGTTCTCTCTTCTGATTGGTTCCGCCATTTATAGCTTAAGCGGGAAGCACAGACTTTGGCATAACGCATAAACCATATACATAAAGAATTTGATTGGTTCATTGACTCATGCATAAGGAAATGGGCCAATGAAATTCCTTATGCACATGCTTTATGCGTTATGCAAAAGTGTGTGTTTCTCACCTTAAATTCTATAGTATACGTGACGTAAACAATCATGTTAGCGCGCTAACATAGCGCGTTCTGAATACGGGCCTATGTATTTATTTAGGCCCATGGCACATAGAAAAACGTAAGGCCATAAACGTAATCAGTAAGCGAATTGACCAATCACAGTTGATAATGTAAGCGACGGCTGCTACGTCAACTCAACTGTGATTGGTCAATTCGCTTACTGATTACGTTTACGGCCTTACGTTTTTCTATGTGCCATGGGCTTTATGACGTTATTGACTACTATTGACATAGACAACTGGATATAAATTGTCATAAAAAACATATTACGTTTAATCCGAGATAAATATTATATTGCTCGATTGAAAAAGAAAAGTGGATAATTAATGAAAAAATGTAAAACAAATATCTATTCAAAAAGATCTTTGAAGAAATCACAATAATTGTATTTGACTTTTGCTCATGTTTACATATTTGTATTATGTATAATAGTGGCTGGAATAAATTAATTAAAAGTAATGACAGTTACAAATATGCGCCTACAAACAACGTCGAGAAAAAATATTGTCTTATACAAATGTCTTTCAATCATGATGAAGAATATCTGATTGTAGGAGACACTAAAGGATACTTACATTACATTGAATTGCTTGGAGATGTTCCATGTTACAAAATATTAGGAAAGATCGGGCGCCCTACCTTTCTAGCATTTAATCCTATATGTACAAAAGAAATATTGATAGGACTTGATACCGGTGACATAAAGATTTGGAAGCTTTATACGGACACCAATGAATTCTTTTTGTTATTTGGTCACAAATTAGCATCAACATATGTTTCCTTTTATAAACATCATTGCCTTACAAGCTCTCGAAACGAAGTAATAATATGGGATCTGAAATCTTATAACAAAGTTCATCAATTAAATGTTAGGGTACATAATGCTATCAAGAAAGCTGCCTTCTCCAATGTGGGTCATATCGTTGTGTTATATCATAATGACACTATACAGGCTTGGACATTAAGACAGTTGCATAAGGATACTAAAATCGATACAAAGATATTTGGAATACGTTGTATCAAAGATTTTATCTTTACAAAAGATGGAAGAGCTATGATAATGGGTAGTAAAGGAAACATAAGCATTCTTAATACATATGATTGGAGTTTATTAAGAAAACTTTCTTTGCCTAATGATTTTGCTGAAGCAAAACAATTATCTGTTGTACCATACCCATTAGATGGTGGAGCAAATAAAATTCTTGCATTTTTATCCTCGAAATATACGCTTCAATTTTGCGACATAAATGCATTAACTTTTCTCGAAATACCTATCTCTATAGATAGGATTAAAAAATTTGTAATTTCATCTGCTGGTAGATATATAGCATACATAGATCAGGAAGGATGTTTAAACATAATGCACATGGATAAAATGATTCCAAAAAAATGTCTTCAACCTAACGGATTGCTAAAACCATATAAGATACATGCGCATAAAACAAGTGATCATTTGGAATACGTTAGACAAAGCATGAAGCAAGAATTAAATATGAAACGATTGATGCCTATTTTAAAAGAATTTGGAGAATATCCAGAGAAATATCGTACATTAATTTGGTCTACCATTTTAAAATTACCAGCTAATAAAAACGCATATATTGCCTTAGCAAGTAAGGTAACGCGTGGAAAATTTGCATTGGATACTTTAAGAAGTCTTCCCTTAGCGGATAAAAGTAAAGCATCGTTATTAACCATGACAATAGATTGCTTGTTGCAATGGTGTCCTCTTCTAACACAGTGTCTATTTCTTCCCAACTTAATTTTTCCATTTCTTATGACATTTCAGGTATCTTTTTATTTTATTTTAGATATTAATTCAAACACAACAAATATTTTGTTTAACTTAAAATACAAACTATGATATATTAATTTGTTTCAGAAAGATCCCTTACTTTCTTTTGAATTGATTTTAAGTATACTACTAAACTATTGCCAAAAGTGGTTTGAATACCATCCTTTGCCACCATTGAATATTTTGGGGATTATTGAAAATATCCTTCTTGAAACTGATCCTACATTATTGAACATTTTTTGTGAACATGGAATCACAAGTAGCGAATATGCATGGCCATTACTTCAAACTGCGATGAGCGAAGTATTGTCAGGAGATGAGTGGTCGATTTTATGGGATCATTTAATATCTTTCCAAAAACCTTCACTGTTATTGATGTGTGTTGTTGCATATAATATTTTTTTGAGAGAAAATATAATTTCTTTATTAAAGTCATCTGAAGATATTAAAGCGTTTTATAATACACAAAGTCATATTAGAGCCAAGGATTTGTTAAAAATTGCAAGAAAGCTGGACCAAGAGATATCAGAACGAATACATCCCAGTCGTTATTTAAGGTAATACATTATAATATCACCAAAAACTGATTACATATATATATTGGAAAACTAATATTTAAAATTATTTCAGGGATAAATTATTACAATTAAATCATAATGGACCCTATCCTTCATTTATATCAAAAGAATATCCCAAATTTCTTACTGAAAATCTTACAGATTTGAAAAAATTGAAAATGCGAGAACAAAATTTGCAAGAATGTAATTGCAGGGTTGCAGATTTTGAAAAGAGAAGATTACATGCAGAGACTGAAGCTTTTGCAAAGCAAATTCATGAAACGAGATTAAATGGTAAAATATATTTAATCTATATTTTTCTCTTTAATTTGTTATACTTTCTCATTAATATCCTAATTTCACTAATTTCTTCATTTGATCAAATTATAAATATTGCAAAGAAATAATTAATTGCTTACATATTTCAGAGGTACAGAAATGCTTTCAAAAACATATTAATAATTTCAATTGGAAATGGCAGACCTTGTTCTCAAATACAGAAAGAGAAAAATTATGTTGTCATTTATGTAAAAATTCTGATAAGAAATTTGAAAAAAAAGAAGAATGTAATAAATGCAAGATTGTAGAAGAAATAATTTCCGATTATGAGGATACTAATTCAAGAAATTATAAAAAATTACAACAAGATATAACAAAACTTGAATATGAAGTACAAAATTTCTTGGATTCATTGAGATAGGTCATAGATGAATATTAATTAAAGTTGCTATATTTTAACAAAATAAATTTGTACAATAAAAATATATTTTAATATATACATTTTTTTATGAAATTTATTTGTATACTTTTTACAAATTATTATATTTACAAATTTTACATTACATAATAGGCAATGCATAAAAATCTATATGCATCGATATATATATATATATATATATACATTATATGTATATATTTTGTGTGTGCATGTGCTCGCGTGTGTGTCTGCATATTATGCATAGCAACTATTTGAACATGGCAAGAGTACGCACTCGCGCGCACACGCATAATTGTCTGCTAATGATCATATTTAATGAAAGAATGAACAGGAACACCGACCTTATCTCGACCTTTCAGCAAAGTCAATTCCATTATCACTAAACATTCTATTACATTAGCACCTGTTGATTTTATTAATTGCACTGCTGCAGTCATAGTACCTTAAATAATAAACATTTATGTTATATCCATTGATGTATTCTAAAATAATATATTCATTGTAATGTAATTTTATTTTACCTCCAGTTGCCAATAAATCATCAACAATTAGCACTCTGGTTCCTTTATTAATGAATTCTGATTGTAATTCAAATGTAGCCTATACAAATAAAAGCATTTATTTATAAATGGAAAGTAATTGACATATAATCAATATTATTTAGATTTAAGACATACTTCTCCATATTCTAATGTATATTTCTGTTGAGTAACTTTGCCTGGAAGTTTACCCTTTTTTCTAATGGGTAGAAAGGGCTTGCCCAATTCCATGGAAATTATAGGTCCAAAGAGAAAACCACGTGAATCCAATCCAACAACTAAATCTACTTCAAGGAATAAAATATGCTCCATAATTAAATCTTTCATTGCTCGTAATGCTACGATGTTATTAAACACTCCAAATATATCTCTGAAAGCGAATCATTTATGTAATATAATAAATGTATAGTAGGATTCCATTAATTTTTGATCTTTTATTAATCTTAAGCTCTTCTTATATCCACTTACCGGAAAATAATCCCAGGTTCGGGAAAATCAGGATAACTTTTTATAGCATTTTTCAATATTTGCAATTTATCGTTCTTGTTCATCTTATAATTGTACAATCTGATAATTTCTGATACTAATGGATAAAAAAAAACAAACAACGCGTGCAGCCTGCGTACAGGTGGCTGTTTTATGTCACCGACGAAATACTATTGAAGACACTCGACCTTGGACAAATTTTCGTGATTATCAATGGAGCCCCAGCCCTCGGAGAGTCCGGAGATAATTGAAGAACGATGGCGTTATCGATAATTAATAAAAATGCACAATTATTGAAATAAAAAAATATATAAATATTTCGATAATAATACTTTTAAATTTAATGCTATAATATGATACCAAAAGAATTACAATTTTTTCTGTTATCATCTCTATTGATAATTAAACTCGGATGATAATATTAAAATCATATAGTGTTTTTAATAAAAATCAAGTATTATTATGTTTTAAACACATAATACGAAACTAATAAATTATAATATTATAGTACCGAATTATCAGTTTATTATTTTAAATCACTTAAAATTTTAACAATTACGTGTAAACACACTGCCACAAACTCATCAGAGCTAGCTTTCCTCGTGTGATCGGTGTGAAAAATATATAAAATGAAACATTGAATCGACTGTCGATAAAGCCAACTGTTAACGAATTATTTTTTAATGTTTAGACCATTCTCTTAAAGATGACGCGCTTGAGACGCTATATATATTTATTTTTAAAATTTCCGCAGAAGCCTAAACATTAATAATAATTAATACGTTAAACAGGGCGAATAAGAGTCAAATTACAATTTTAAAATCTAAATCTGATAATTTAAACTAATATTATATATTGCGAAGAATATCACGTAATTTTTTGACGTTTCGTCCCGGGTTTCACTACTGGACTCATCAGTAAAAGGCATATTGTAGTGGAAGGCCTTATACGCTTTGGTAAAAGTTATTAATCGAGATTCTATATAAAGAGATATACGCGTATCTTAGCACTTGCGAGAATTTACGAATATCGATATACCTCTGATGGCCAGTCGACGTAGAGTGATACTCTTCGCAATATTTATCCAAAGTAGGAAATAACATTCTAATATATATAGTCCCCCCAAATTGCGCGCCGAACAATTGTCGGACTTGCAACGCAACTCTAATAATCTGATTTCTAAATGTCCCCTCTCCCTAATTATTGCGCGCCGAAAGGATTTCGGTCTTGCAACGCAACTCTAATCATTTAAAATATCCCCCCTCCTAAATATTTTGCGCGCCGAAGGATTTTCGGTCTTGAAACGCAACTATAAATACTAAATCTAGAAACTGTTAATTATTACTTAATGAAAAGACTTACAATGTATTATCACCATTGTTACAGCCTGCGGTTTGAAAACAAATAAATTGAAGATTCGCCAAAAAATTACGTGATATTCTTCGCAATATATAATATTAGTTTAAATTATCAGATTTCGATTTTAAAATTGTAATTTGACTCTTATTATTCGCCCTGTTTAACGTATTAATTATTATTATATAAAAGAGTCCTTGTAATCTTCAATTTATTTGCCTAAAAATTAACTTCGACAATCGTGGTCGCGTAAGGTGCTATGCAAAATAAAAGGAACAGGGAACAGAGAACAAAGAATAAGAATTTCAACATATCAGAAATCATATACTGTGGAATAAACAGTGTGTGTATTCTATATAGTACATGATTTAGGTTGAAATTCTTATTCTCTGTTCCCTGTTCCTTTTATTTTGCGTAGCCCCTAATAGTGATTGTAAATTGTATTCTTATATACATGTATGAGATAATATATTTCAAATTTCAAATGTTATTTTATTTTACATTTATTAAAAGGGAAGACAAAAGAAGATGGCTCAAAGATATATTAAACAAATGTTTATTTATATAACTTTCCATTTGCTTACGTGAGAAGAGAACTCTCAATATATTTTTAGTAAACAAAACGAAATAATTGCTGAATATAAAATTATTATATGTATAGTAATTACATATATATTTATTACTATGTACAATAGAGTACACACGCTAACATGTGTTTGCGAATATTAAAAACGATAAAAAAGTAATGTATTTACAGCATGTATAATATCAATAAAAAATTAATTAGTACATTTTATATTTATACGTGCGAGCGCATGCACATGTGGATATTACAAAATGAGAAAATGCCTTTCCTCAAGATTAGGCACTTGTATGTGTGTTTCTATGTCTATATAAACTCTCTAAATTATTAAATATATAAAAATATTAAAATATAATAAAAATTTTGTAAAAATAATTACATATTTAAAGTATTTAAATACTTTAAATATGTATAAAACGTACTATTTTCAATCTCTTATCTTTTTATAATATTTCCACAGATTGACTGATCATTATTATATTGTATAGGTATTAGGAGTATGCATAAATTTTAAAGGATTTTTTGTTAAAAATACAGCTGATATGGCCCTCAAACGTCTGGAAATAGTTGATCAATCAACATTTAATGATTCTACAAATTCTTCTTGCGTTTGATTCGGGTATTGATCGAGTAAAAGCTTCTACTTCCTTGTCTTCAAACTTTTTCGGCTGGCCTGGACGTTCGCTTGTCTTCCGTGTCAAAATCACCTTTTTATAGCGTTGAAATTAGTATTCACATTGAAATCGATGGAGTATAATCACCATAAGCTTCCGACAGCATTCGTTGAAATTTAACAGCACTTTTCTTCAAATGGAAGCAAAAAAGCTTCCCGCAAATTGTGTTTTGTTGGCACAAAATTCGACATATTCAATGCTCAAAAAACAGTGTTTTACGATTATTAATATAAATATTTCGATAATACATTATTAAATTCATGATTATATATATATATATATATATATATTATACATTTTATATGTTATATAAATAAGTACGTATACTTTTAATGCTATAATATATCTTATATATCACCAAAAAAAATTACATTTTTTCTCTGCACTTCGGCAAAATGACACATACTGAAAACTAAAGCCACACATGATGGTGCTTTGACATGTAGCAACAAATATGACCCGATGCAATATAGTCTAGTTATGCCATTTCTTAAAAATTCTTTAAAATTAATGCACACTTCTAATAGTATATAGATATTATAGTCTCCTGCGTATTATACATATTTATATTTAGATCAATCTTAGAAAATAAATTCGGGATATATAAAAGCAAAACTTAATACATTATCTATGCAAGATTTTTAACAATGTTAAAAAAACATCTCATATATGTACAAAACATGAATAAATTATTTTATTGTATATCCTCCTTCTCATTTAAGAATTGAAAGTAACTTTAACATATTTAATTACAATTAAAAATAATATAAACACAAAATTTTTAAATATAAACACATTCAAATATAACTGAGAGTATGCTAAAATTAGTTTTTGTTACATATAATTCTTGTTTAGAAGTAATGCAGTTTGTAAAATATATAGAATAAAATTATATATATTTATATAATATATTGTTGGCGAGAAAGAGAAAATGTGTCAGTTTTGCTTTAATATCTCCATTTATAAATTCTTAAATTCTGAATCTTGAATTATAAAAATAATGTTAATACCTTCCTTGCTAAACTTTTGTCGTTGCTAGGAGTTTGATATAATGAGCTTTATGAGTAATTTCAAACTCCTGGGCCGGCAGGAAGCATTGCGCCTGTATCCTCGGATGTCGCAAACGCCTTGCAAGATTTCTGCCGAGTATGGCAAGGATAACAAGGAGAACACCAGTAGCAGCGATCACGGCCATAATGATGACTATCTCAACGTTCCGCCTGCCGTAACTCTGCTCAACTAATTCTACGCAACGAAACCTCTCGCGATCATCTACCAAGTTGCCAGACATTACGATAATATTTGTGAGTTCATCCAAACTAGCGCATATCCTGTAATAACCAGGCAATGACACTTTCACATCGGTGATAGATGCGAAGCTACAATTGAGTCTCTGTCGATGCACGACGGAGATCTCGTTGAATACGAAGATGGATAATTGGCAGGTTGATGATGAATCAATGACCGTGTCTCTTTTTGTTTTGGAAAGAATTACGTCGATGTGCAAATAGCTTTTATCATCAGATACATTCACGTGAACACCAGTGATCCGTAAATAGGAATCAAGAGATATCTGCGTGGACGTCGGAGAACGAGAATTCCCTTTTTTAACGTATTGATCTTCCATTGTTATTCGTTGCTGAGTCTTTTCTAAAACAATGACATCGCTACAACCTAGACCAAGGGATACATCATCATAGACATTAGGTATCAATAAAACTACACAATAACGATATTTGTGACCCAATTGTAGATGCAAAGAGACCGGTATAGTGACTGGTAGAATACAGGGATCTCGCATCATTCGGGAATCACAATGTAGCGGGCTGGACTCTGTTTGAATTTCGCTATCATCTATTGTTTCATAGACAATAAGCGAATCGCAAGTGTAACGTTCGGTGCACTGCTCCACGTGCCATAATAAATTGATACCAGTTGATTCATCGTAGTGAAATTCTTTAAGACTTAGTTGTGCACCTGCCGGATGTTCCCGGGTCATTATGGGTGGTGTGGGCTCGCCGCAAAGTAGACTACCTGGCGGTACTTGCATCAAGATACCGTTCTCCAAGGCAGGTGGTGTCGCACACACTGCCGATGACTTGTCCTCTTCTGTTAAGCTGGAGTTTGTCAGCCAATTAGCAAACTCTAACAAAGTACAATCACAATTTAACGGATTGTCGGCGAGAGAGAACCTCTTGAGGCGCAGCTTTGATGTTAGCACATCGTTAGCTACAATTGTGATGTCATTATCATCCAATCGTAGGTCCTGTAAACTTTTCAATGGCACTACCAGATCGGCCGTTAATGCACGCAGAAAATTGTGCGTTAAATCTAAATAAATTAATTTTTCTAGATGAGCCAAGGAAGCACTGGACACAGCGACGATACGATTGTTTGCCAGGTCTAATCGTGTTAAAGTCGATAGGTATTTAAATGAATGATCTTCTAGCACATCAATCTGCAAATTAACGTTTAACAATTTAAATAAAATAATTTTTAAGTAATCTTTTTTCATACTATTAACTTAACTTTTAAACGAAAACACTCACTTGATTGTGACTCAAACTGAGGTAAGTAAGATTTCGAAGACCCATCAGAGCTCCCTGCTGGACATTGACGAGATTGTTTTCTGAGACTGTAAGGAAATGTAGTTTGGGCATTTGTGGCAATAGATTGGGACCCATCGGACCCAGCAGTAAATTGTTCGAAAGATCTAGCTCTTCCAAGCGTTTCAGACCTCTCAACGCAGACAAGGCGGAAACACTCAGACGATTTCCACCCATTCTTAGCGAACGTAATGCTGGCAATGTTAAAAAAACCTGCGGCGACAATTGTGATAGCAGATTATCACACAAGTCTAAATAAGTCAAATTTGACAGTCCCTAAAAACACAGAATATTTTATTACTCTTTATAATCCTAATTTTCTCAAAACTATTTTTCATAAATATATATAACATAGTTCCCTTTCTTACGAAGAATTCACACACACGCACATAGGTATAGAGCATAAAAATAACATACATTCATGTCTCGTAACTAATCATACCTTGAATGAGTCTGCTTCTAATGTCTTTAATCTATTATGGGATAGATCCAATCGGTCCAGACCGACTAGATGTGATAGTGCGATTGTGGGAACTGAAGCTAGAAGATTGCTGGGCAATCCTAGCGCTTGTAATGGTCGCGCCAGAGCTGTAAATGCATTATCATGAACATATCGCAACTCTCCGGTGGAGACAACTAATCCATGAAGTGCGACGTCTTCGAGGAAACGTGCCGGCAATTCAGAAATTCCTGTCACAGTCACATCCAGCAATGATATTGTGTCCGGTTGACTATGTTTCAAATGCTCGCTGATGGTCTAAGAGAAACAATAATAGAGACATAAAGTAATTTCATTATTCTTTCTGTCGTATACTTAAAAATTAACAAATTGCTACCACGTCTTTTGTGTGTGTGTGTGTGTGTGTGTGTGATTTTATATTTTTTCTATGTATCTATTTTTAAAAAATCATTGTAAATGCAATACTAATAAACATAATTGCAGATAGCTGGACTCTCATTGTGATAGTGTAAAAAAACACAGATGGTATCGAGTAACATATGAAATAAGAGAGATCAAGCAACCGAGAAGAGGAAAAGAATAAAAAGAAAAGATACAATAAACTCTGAAATAATAATATTGTATATATATAACTTGTATTTCATTGGCAGTTTATATTACCCACATTTTTCTTGACCGTTGTTTAAAAAGTAACAAGTCGATCTCGATTGTACTGTAAAGCGCATAACGTACTATTAGAGATTGAGCTTACAACTCATCTTTTTGTATTTTTTTTTTTAATTTTTTCCAAGGAAAATTTATAAATCTTAACAAATGGAATTAATTAATTTTATCGGTTGGGATAAATTGTATAATCTACATATATGTATATGTATATATCGATGTATAATATAGCAATCGCATGTTGATAAAATTATTTACATGCAGTGCAGTTCTATCACCGGCACATCTGAGCGTATGTGGAAAGTCACAAGAACACTCCACGCCTGCTTTTGTGATATTCGGACATTCCCACACAGTGTCAGAGGAAGATGACGGGGACGGGGTCGATGACGGTGATGGTAATGCGTGGGATAGATTTTTTGGGATGCCATTGTCTTGCGTTGTCATAGTTGCCGATGGCAACGATGCATTTTCTTCGGCGATCGTCGTCCTTATAATTGTAGCCATCGATGTTGCCATCGATGTAATCGGCTCCATTGTCGTTGTGACATTGTCCTCAGTTCTAGCGTCGAGACATGACGCTATCATTATCAATGTTAAAACGAGTAGGTCCCAAAATAATTTCGGCATTCTGAAAAAAGATATTTGATATGATAGATTTGTATTATTATTTATCGTGTAGAAACATATTTCTTCTGACAATAATAATAATAACATATCGAAAAATAAAATTTTTCGATTTTCTTCTTTCAGTTAATGCATGCGCAAATTCATTCTTAAACGTCATGCGGTTTAGAAATGATAAGTACCAAATTATGCGAGAATAAATAATCAAATTCTCTACAATATCAATGAAAAGCATATTTAAATTCAATGTCTCACGTTTATTACAACGAGTTATGGCTTATCACGAGAAGCGACCTAGAAAAGCTGTTAGAACTCGAAAGAGGATTGCAAGAAAGCGCACCATTAAAAAAAAAAGCTGCTTTAAATTCAGCGTTATCTGTGTATCTGAGGCATGTGCTCGCAAATTAACTTATTGTGACAACACCTCGTGTATATAATAAAAAATTTAACTATTTTATATCAGTTTAACTACGATTTGTTACTAATCTGTTTACTGAAATCATTGAATCAATATATTTATACATACATATAGATATCGCAATATTGTAAAAAGACTCATCATGTGTTACGATCAAATGATTCAGACGCAGAAACGGGAATTAATTAAGAAAATGTTAGATTGTGCCATCGGACGTATGCTAGAATATAAAAAGAAAATTGTGGAGCTAGATTATACAGATTATCAGTAAGTTTTTTCGTTGCTCATTCATCAATTTATACATTATATGCTCTAATTTCTAAAATAATAATATTGTCTGCACAGATGGCCTGACGATATTTTGAATCAAATGAAATTCACGCCAGATGATATTGAGTTATTTGCATCAGTGTCTGGCCGAGAACGTGTAGAGGAACGCAGAAAGTTTATTCAAGAGTTGATGGAGAGTGTTCACAAAGGTTTGTTACCATCGAGTCATTGTTCTTTTTTTAACGATAATAAAATTTTATCAAAATTTTGAAGTAAATACAATTTATGTTTGGAAATTTAATTTAAAAATTTAGAAAAATATAATTTTTTGAATTTTAACCGTCTAGTACCACAGACGAGAGAACACCGTCTTTCACAGATACAAATTGAGAGTACGCCCGAGATGGAAGATGAGACATTGAAGACACGCGCTGCTCGACGAAGAATGCGGATCACACCACCATCAAAGATAGAGTTAATCCAGGAATCGCCATTGGAAAAAGCCGCCCGAGAAGCGAAACTTGCTGCTGAAAAAACTATGCGTAACGCAATGTTATTGGTGCAGAGTCATGAGAGAGCCAGAAAGGGACGCTCCTACGGTGCAGATGGTATACTCGCAAAAAAAAATAAATAAATAGTTTCATCATAATAAAATTTGTCAAGTAGGACATTCTCGTATATGAAAGAAAATGTATGATACCCCAGACATTAACATTATTACGTTTGCATAACTAATTATTGATGCTATAATTTCTCAGTGAAACGTATATACGATTACAATAAAAAAGTGAGATCCGGAGAAATAATACCGAAAAAAATAGATCGTATCAAATATATTCGATCAGCGATAACGATACAACGTGCGTGGCGACGTTATGCTTCTAGAAAAGCTATGGGAAAACGAATTGCACGTCTCGAAGAAGCTTTGGATATGACAAGCTGGCGATGCAACAAGACAATCGCGAAAGATGATGACAATTTTCAGCGACGACGTGCTCTGATGCCTGTGTTTGATGCACGCACGGAGAAGGCAATCAATGACGAACGCACAAAGGTAAATTTTTCAAACAGAATTTCTAGCTAATTTACGTCGCATTATTATGAAAGAAAACGAATATAAAAGAAAAATATAAGTTTTAAGAAACAAAAAAGAGACTAAGAGTAAGATTAAAAAAACAATAATTAATTCTCAAAAGCTCTTGAAAATCAGAGGTCCTGGATTAATGGAGGACATCACTGACGAAATTCACGAGTGGTTCGTTGTTTGGTACAACGCACTAGGACATTACGACGTATTTCCAGCTGCAGATTTAGGTGGCAGCGTACTGATCGTGACCGGGCAGACCTTAACACCGCAAGAATATTTGATGGAAAAATTGGAAAAAGAGAAAAAAGCCAAAGAAAGAAGGGCTGAGAGAATGGGACCAGTTCCCAAAGTTGAACCTATCAAGGACGAAGTTTCCGATGTGAAAATGCCGCAAACAAATACTTTGTCCTGCTTAGAGGAAACAAACATCGATTTTATTCGAAATTGGAGCTTTCGTGACCAAAAATATTTAGAACGAGAATATTTGGATCTAATTACTGAGAAACTTTGTTATGAGTTGCAGCTCGAAATGAGGGAGATAGTAGATGAATTGATGAGGGCCGAACTGGAATTATTAAATAAGGCGTTATTGAAGGATCATGCACGTGATAAGGAGAAATTCGTGATTCCAACAATAGATACAAGTAATCGATAGAACTTGACTTATAATAATAAAAAATTTTCTAATCATTATCTAAGCAAAAATTTGAATTTTGATTAATTATTATAACAGAAAGAATATATATAATTGACAAAACTGAAACGAAAAGAAAGAAAGATATCTTGGAGGATGTAGCCATCGAGGATCTCTTTAACGAGCTTCTACAAGCTAAAATCATTAGAAACTACCAAACTATTTTTTTACGTGATTGGTTTGGTGATCTGTCCTATCAAAATTACGAGGCACGTCGCGAACTCCGGGATTATAAGCATCGACTCGGAGAAGTAAAGCAGCTCGTATTAGAGTATTGTGTATTGCCTTTAATTTCCAAGGAGACACATCAACTTGCACCGCTCGTCCGTTCTGTGTGCATCTATGGATTATCAGGGGCCGGAAAGACTTCGCTTGCGAATGCCATCTGCTCAGAGGTGATGATCATTGTTTCGACTATATGTATGTTATAATAACTATTATGTTCAAAGATATTCAAAATATGTTAATACGAGATACAATATTTTCACTTCTTTATTATATTATAATAATACCATACATTTTTAAGTATATTGTATTATAATATTCTTTCCTTCTATATATTTATCTCTTTGAACTTTCCTAGATCGGCGCGTTACTTTTCGACGTATCAGCACCTGTTTTAGTTAATAAATATGTAGGCAAGGCAAAACAACAAAGACTCATCGATATAATCTCTAAAGTGGCCCGTTTTTACGCACCTTCCATCATATTTCTCGATGCTGGCGAAAAACCCTGGTTGAAAAAAATTCCACCAGAGGAAAGGTATCTTCAACCCAAGCGATTCACCAAATATTTTGTTAAACTAATAAAAGACATTAAGCCAGGCGATCAGGTAAAGCTATAATCTGGTAAATAATTTCTTTTTACTCTCTTATAATAATAATTTAATTATTTTTATTCTGTGTCGTATGATTTACTTTTTATTAATTATTAATAACGCAATTACTTTGTCAATATTGTACTCTCAACGTTTTGTGCTATAATATTTAAAGATCCTTGGACATTAGAAATATATATATATATATATCGTGAGAACGTGCGCGGAGTGACACACCTAAATTGGAGGACTATATCAAAGTATACGCAATCGAGCAACGCCTACTTTGTAAAATTCTTGTTATTCCTGTTTGAGATCTTTCTTCAATATGAATGAATTGCCGCCACCTCTCAGACGAGTCCACATATACTGAACTCTTTTTCTCTCTCTCTCTCTCTCTCCCCCCCCCTCCCTCCTTCCCTCCTGCGCCGTTCAAATCTTTCATCTCGATCGCTCGAGGTTGCTCATCAATGAAACACCTCCTACCTGTATATATGGTTGCCGTATGAGGACGTAGGTGGCGGCGAGTTAACGTAGGATTTAGAGTGTTAAAAATTCCGGACAGATACTGTTACTCACTGGCGTAATATTATGGAAGGCAGATTGATACTTGAAAAGTAGATATTTTATTCCGACTTTAAATTTGTGTGATAAGAGTTAAAATATAAAAATTACGAGATTTATTAAAACACTGAAAGAATTTAATATATCCAGCATACATAATTAAAATTTGATTTTTATTTTGTTAATTATTAATATGACAAATCCATTTCCAACAGATACTATTTCTTTCACTGTCCGAAGAACCTCATAAGGCGACAGCCGCTTTCATTAAATTCTACGATAAATTTATAAGGGTACCCACTACCGACTACAACACACTTTACATGTACTATAAGAATCTACTAATGAAATATCATGGCGTTGATCGCGATATCGATGTCTCTTGTTTGGCCAAACTGTCCATTGGAGTTCCTCTGGATTTTATCCGACAAGCCGTGGAGAAGGTGCTGTCGCTACGTCGAAGAATTACTCTTAAATCCAATCCATTAAATCCGATGGAAATTATGGACGAGATATTAAAGTATCAACATCCTACGTTGGAGATGATAGAGAGTCTTGATAAATTTGAAGGAAGCACTCCACTTGGCAGAAAAAGAGCCAATGTTTCGTAAAACGAAAATTCGCGAAAAGATGATGAGTTTGTTTCCGAACATAAATATATATATTATATCTATCACAGAAGTTTCGCTCTTGCATAAAAAATGCATTATTATATTGCAAAAATTCTTGCATTGCATGCCCATCTAATAGCCCGCAGGATGTAAAATATAAAAAGTGTGTCTATTTTTTATAGAAAGAAAAAAGTGAAAATATTTGATTTTAATGTTAATTTAAATATTTTTGTATGCACGCAGGAAAGACAGATATACATATCCTAAGATGCATATCCTACGACGGAAATGGTGGACTGCATTTTAGTTAGAGAACGTTAGAGAGAGAGAGAGAGAGAGAGAGAGAGAGAGAGAGAGAGTGTGTGTGTGTGTGTGTGTGCGCGCGTGTGCGTGCGTGCGTGCGTGCGTGCGTGCGTGCGTGCGTGCGTGCGTGTGTGTGTGTGTGTGTGTGTGTGTGTGTGTGTGTGTGTGTGTGTGTGTGTGTGTATACGTCCCTCTAATATATATAATACGTGTCTCGAGCGTGTTGCCAACCCTTACACCCTCCCACACCTGACCTCGGTCTTAAAGCGGAGGAGGAACCCAGTAGCACCCACGCCGGTCAAGTATTTGCGGTGAGTGCATCGTGTTATATTAATTAATGAAGAATAATCTTCAAGGATCCTCGGACGTTTTCTGTCACCATATCCTTTCTTTAAGAATCTGCGAGTTCTTTCTTATGTTCTACAGCTGCTGTTACGTTTGGCGGTATATTTCGAGTCTTCATCAGTATACTTTATCCCTCGCGATATCGCCGCATAATTGTTGCACATTAAATCTTGCTGAGAAATCTCTTATACCACAAAGTTGACGATTTCAATATTCAAGAATGATCATTGAACTGCGTTCACCAGGATATACACTGTCACACATATACATACGCATAATTCGTCGGATGTCTTGTCAGATCATGTGGAAAATTGGTACCACATGATCGAAGGAAACGCGCGGTAACATGAATGCCCGAACAATAATATAGTAGTATGATTGTACGATATGTATCCTGCAAAGCACTATGCATCAAGAACATGCTCGGCAACCGCTTCGAGCAGAGACGAGAAACCGTCGCCTCCACCGTCCACACGGTGGGGACTCCCCCGGTCCATGTCGGTCCGTCCGTCTCTGTGTCTCTTGGTTTCCACATAGCATAGCCATGTATGGAACGCGGGACGACGTTCTCTCTCCCGGCTCTTACGCCCACTTACCATAGTCGCGCTTTCCGTACTGCAGACTCCACCGGAGCTGGAGCAGGTATCATCACGATTGACATCAATGACAATGAAAAAATAAGAATATCAACGACGACGATATTGTGCGAATTACTGGAAAAAGAGGAGCGAATAGAAAAAGCTAATAAAAGATTTGACGTTTTTTTTCCTAATATAAACATTTTGAAAATCTTGAATCCTTAGAATATCAAAACACTCTGCCTCACATTCTGAGAGAAAATTGAAAACTTAATAAGGAGCAAATTAATATGATCTTAATCTTTTCAATTTGTTTAATAAGGAAACACATTGTATGGATCGTATTTTCCACTTCCAGGAAGTGCGTGTGCGTGCGCGCGCGTGTCAGAGATATGTCTTTTTCTTTAATTATTAATGTATATAAAAAAATAGTATCTCCCTCCCCAAATGATCTTTGCATGTGTTGTTTTCGTATATACATTAGAACTCGAGAGAAGCTAAAGCAGAAGCTGGTGAGAAAGAGAAAAAAAAGAGAGAGTAGGTGGGATAGTAGGGGTCTCCGAAGGTCTTCAGGATCCTCACGAAATGTCTTTTGATACTGGAAATCTGTTTGCCGTTGTCATTACGAAATCACGTAAAACCGGGCCTCTACGCCCACGCTGCAACAAGAGACTGGCACAGTCGCGGTGAAAGAAAGTCCGACTTCTTTAACAAGCTCGAGATGTTTATAATATACCAGAAATCGAATATCGCATTTAAAAGTTTGCGTGAAAATTATTTACTGCGAAATTATTCTTGTAATTTTATGATAAGAATTTTAATAATTTTATTCATTGACTCTCTAATGAAAATAACAAAAGTTCATTACATAACAGTAAAAAGATAACTCATGACCGTACAACTGATAGTAATTAATTTTATTGTATACAAACGTCAGAAAAAAAAAACGATTCTCATATAAGGATAATTTAATCTTAGATGTTTTGAAAAATTAATGTCAAAGCACATTTTATATCATTATTATAAATTAGTATTACTTTATTTTTAATATTATGTAAGAGAATAAAAAAAATTAATGTAATTATTTTAAAAAAATATTAATCGATACGCGGTCGAGAAATAATGACTATAATAAAGTTGTTTTATACACAGTAGATTAATTGATCCCACAATTTAAGTATTAAGACTTGATTGTTAATAGCATTTTTTCCACGATCTGGCGATAGAGAGTCGTGGAATTCTATGCAAGACGATCGGTCGGTGTACTGTCCAAGGGTTATATTTGCATAAAAAGTTGTGTTCTCTGAATCAGCTGTAATGGAACTAGTTGATTGATCTTTGTGTTTTACAATTCAGTTTGCTCATAATGTAATTACGTGTTACAGTATAATATAAAAAGCATAAGAACATGTTTATATCGTTTAAACAAAATAGTTTTTACAAAAAATTCGATTGGTCAAGGAATTTGCAAGCCAAATTATGGGATATATATCTATATATAATATATAAACATTTTTGTGTAATCTTATTTTTTTTCTATGCTTTTATTGTTTTATTTTTATGTTTTTATCATGCATTAAAAATAATTTATAAAAAAATTTATACTTATTTATGTGTTTTTATTATACATATATATTACACAGTTTACGCATACCTATAATACAATAGTAATGAAGATAAAAAATTTGTTGTGATTATTATGGCATCGAGTATATTCTGAATGATTGCACGCTTATTTAAAATATTGATTAACAAATTTATTTATTTTATTTCTAATTTACTTCTGAAATTTGATTGTGAAAAAGACATCGATACTTTAGAAGATCAAAACCTTTTCAGTCATTAAATTATTTCAAAGTAGTCTTCCATTATATCGATATAATTCTTAATATCGTTCATATACCTCCGTAGAAATTTGTGGTCTCTTTTTACATTTTTAATTAAATTTTTTATGTCTCTTTCTCTGTAGAAAAAAAGAAAAAATATTATCGAATTTTCAAATAATTATTCAAGTTATCTCTCTATAAACTTACTTTATTCTGCCTAGTATACAATAAGAGTTGATATCATTTGGAGTAAGTTTATCGAATCGTTTAATTTTAATCGTAACTTTCAATATAATGTCCAACCGTTTGCTTCGAGATATGAATGAAATTCTAAAATAAATAGATTATTATAATTTTGTCAAACCGATGTACATATATTGATTATATTTTAAATAATATTATGTATTAAATGTAATAGTATGATATAATTTGATGTAAATATATATTGTAAATTATTACTTGTCATTAGCAATCTCCATTAAATTTAAATCATCTAAACGCTTCAAATCAAATTTGAAATTCATCGCTAGTTTCACATCTTGTGAAATAAAATTTAACATTGGAAGGATGTCCTGATGAGTTTTATATAAACTTGCAAGTAATTCCGCGTTTATTTTCTCTAGAATTAATTTGTGAACTATTTTTATGAGTACTCCTGCATCATCTACAAAGAAGAAAAAAAAAGTTAAAATGACGTAACTTTATTTTTAACTGATAAGAGTATTACAATTACCTGAAAGGCGGGAAATAATCTTGATTTCTGTAATTAAATTTTTTTCGGAGCCATTATTAAAATCATATGATAAAAATGTCGCTATCAATAACGAATTTGCTATGAAACCAAAAACGATCATTTTTCTATTATTATTACTGTAATATACATTCCAAATAGAATTGTCCCTACAACAAAATAATATTAGGTCTCTTTAATCTTTTTCAATAATAAAATATACTAAAAATGTATATGTACCCTGCGGCATGTGTTTCTAGTTCTTGCAATAATGTTATGAATGGATCTTCGGTTAAAGTTTTGTTTTTAACATCTTCGTTAATTGTGCTAATATTATGTGCTGTTTCAAAACTTTCTATTGTACATTTATTTTTTTGTCTCATATTTTGCTGTTTCATTTTATCATTTAAATTTATTCTATGTTCATCGTGATTTATTTGATCTTCAATTACTATTTCTGTACCTTCGAGATGATCACTAAGTTTCTTTGTTTCATCTGAATACTGTCCTTGCTCTTCAATATTAATCTGTAACTTTGCATCTTCGTTTAATTTCTTTCGAATATATTCTTTTTCGTTTTCATCTTCTACTTGATCTCTAGCTGTTACTTCAATTTCTTTGATAATTAATGATATGGAATGATTAATATTTTGCACTGTTGTAGAAAAACTGTCATTATTAATCTCGTCTAGACTTTTCCTAGGATTTGAGCAAGATATCTGTGAATGATCTATTGTTTCCTTTACAAAATATTCATTACGTTCTTGTTCAATATCATTTAAATCATTTATACAGTTAGCGTCAATACTAGAAAATAAATGTACGTCATTTTCCTGAGAAGACTGAATTTCCATGAAAGAACTGCGAGCTCGTTTTGAATATGACTTTTCATTGTCATCAAACATTCTTTTTTTACTAACATTTTCTAAGTTTATATCTAATGAACGAGCCAAATTATTCAATGGAGATTGAGTAATGAAATCGTTAGACAATTCATTGTGTCTAATATTTTCTGCTTCTACAATTTCTCTTGAAATTGTAAAATTTTCTTCTGTTACATCTTTCTTTAATTCCGTTAAATTACTATTTATTATTAGATGTTGGAATTCATTATTTTCAGAAACGATTAAGTTCTCTGTTTCATTTACTTTCACATCTTGTGCAAGATGTAATATTGATGGTACTGCAGAAATAATTTCCATTGATGTATCTTGAATTGTTTCATTTGCAACTACATCAGTTTGGCATTGTACTCTTACAGAATTTTCAGCTGGTAATGAAATTGTTTTTGACAATAATCTTTGAGAAAATGATACCGACTGCGTAGGGTGAGTTGTATCAGTAGTACTAAATGTTATCTCATGCAAAGAAACTGGGACGACTTCGGTAAATTCCATAGATTTACATAACAATTTAGTTCCTTCGTTAAAGCAGGTTGAATCATTTCCATCTTTATCTCTATGTGTACTCTCTTTAGATATTGATTTAGAAATTGGCTGAGTAATTTCTTTTCTTGATGATACTG